GATTACATTTGCATTTAGAAAAAATACGAAATTTTAGTCAAATTTCGAAAAAAATCCTGTCTCTAGGATCATGTTCAGGGATCCTACAAAATTTTCAACTTCAATTATTTAAGTTGTTTAGGCGTTAATTGGGCACAGAGAATAAGGTAAAAAATAAGTTTCCATAAACATAAATTTTATGAAAATTAACTACAGTAAATCATGTTGGATGTTTTGTAAAAATTATTGTTTTAATTCTTCAAACCTTGAGTTATTTTGCTTGTGCTGTATTTGTTGTTTTTCTTTTTAGAATATCTAAAATCAATCAAGCATTAAATGTTCAATATGAGCAATACGAATGCAATTCTACTCTCTACAGTCTACAGAGCAAAACATCATAAATAATTCTTAAATAATATACAGAATAATTCTTAAATAATATACAGAATAATTCTTAAATAATATACAGAATAATTCTTAAATAATATACAGAATAATTCTGAAATAATATACAGAATAATTCTGAAATAATATACACCCCTGTGTTAGTTTACCTCCTAAAACTATAGGTATAAACTTTTTTGTAAAAACTCGAACATATTTTTTAAAATTTTGATACAAATAGTTAATTTAAAATTATGAACCTAAAGTTAGGAATTTCTCATAAAATTTGCTTCTCTGATAGTCTGATAGTCTGATAGTCTGATAGTCTGATAGTCTGATAGTCTGATAGTCTGATAATCTGATAGTCTGTGCTTTTAATTTAAAAGAAAATTTTCTCCGTAAGTTTGTAAAATATAAACAAACTGTTAGGGTCTCTGCTAAAAAGTTGACTGAAATTTTGGAAATTGGAAATATAGAATAAAAAGTAAATAATGGTTTTAGAATTTTACTAAGTTAAAGCTTACCAAAATAATTATTTTGTCATCGGTCACAAATAATTTCTTTTGTTGATAAAGTTTTTAATTACAGTGTTCAAAGCAAAAGACATAAATTAATTATAAGATTGGAAATCAACTACCCAGAAAACAATAAAAACTTTAATTTTGTTATAAAGGGACTGAGAACTTATTACTAGAGATCCTCCAATTATAGAGTTTTCGTTTCACCATGGCATCCTTATGCTCTGAAATGAAGAATATATCCATGTTTTTGACATTGAACAGTGACTCTTTCCAATTGAGGTTTCACTAGGTTTAGAAGTAAACACTTGTCAAGTATCGGTTTAAGAAGTTAACGTTAAAGAGACCCCTTTAGTGATACACATTATGGATAGTTTTCCTGTCATAGAGAACCCTTTAGTGATACACATTATGGATAGTTTTCCTGTCATAGAGAACCCTTTAGTGATACACATTATGGATAGTTTTCCTGTCTCTGAAAACAAACTATTCGTATCGTTAACGACGTAAAGATGGAAATTAAAATGAACAAATTGTGTTTTAAAATAAAACAAAGTAGTATTTTTTTAACGACATTTATAGATCAATTTTCGTTAATAACCTACAACTGAAGTCCCAAATGTTAAAAAAAGTCAAGCTCGGGTAAACAGTGGGAGTAATAATGACCAAAATACGTTAGGTTTTCGTTTGTTTGCGGAATTTCCCATTCATATTTAAAAAACGTTAATCCATCCGGTTTGAAATTTCAGTTCTTTAACGGTTTATTTCACTTCATTTAACGTATAATTGCTGACCTGTAGTAACCCTTACTTTTTGCGATTTTAATCAAAATTTAATTTATAATTTTTGTTGTATTGAGTTTTGTTTATATCAGTTTACACATAAATGATCTCTAATGTTCTCAAATAGCGGCTTTGCTTCCCCATTATATTCTATAATCTGTAATCTGTATATATGAGACCCGAAACTGTAAACAGGGGGAAATCAAATATCTAATTCTACACAAAAACTAGCCAATGAAAACTGATGATTAAAACACAAATTAATTATAATTATAATTTTCTATTGCCACTTGACCAATGATATATTGAAATTTAAAGCGCATTGAGAAGAACAATATTTTAATATGTAACCAGATAAATTTTCTCTTCCCATACTTGTGCGTAAATTTAAGACTAAAGGAGATACAACGTCACAAAGTCATACCAGTAATGTCGTATAATTTGCTAGTGATTGTATGATTGCCAGGATGAAGTAAAAACTCTAGGAAGTGGCTGCAGCGCTCGGCACCCTGCCAGCTATAGTGCCAGTGCACTGCAGGATACAATCCAACTCATGGATTAAAATTAAAGGGACTGGTCCCTTCCCACGAACTATTGTATTTTTTAAATCTTCCCAACAAATGGTGAAAACCTTCTATATTACAAAACTTATATAATTTAATCTAGTATTATTCATCGTATGAAATATTAAAGATCTATTCATTTATTCATTCATATTTTTATTCAACTACAAAGCATGAGATATTTCAAATAAGCAATCACAATTTACTATGCAGTTTGGACCAGCCTAACCAGGGTTGGTTGTTTTGAGTGGTTAGCCCGAAGTTAATTAACGATACTGAACATAATTGGTTACACGCTAGGTTCCAAAGATATAGGGATTTGAAAATTAGAAATCGTGGCGCAAGCATTCAGTTTCTACATTTAGAGATTTTGTAACTTTGTCTTGTGTTTACTTACCAGTTGTAATTACGTGTTCAATTTCAGCAGCAATCCATTGTCCAGTTTCAAACTAACTTTCCAAATAACATTAACCCCGGGAAATAATAATAATAGGATTTAATTTCAAATATCTGGAGGAAAAAACTTTTGTTATAATCTAACAAATTGATTCATTACTTTAATTTCCAATCTTGAATCTTTGCAACCTGAGGGTGTAAACCTTTAAAATATTAAACGTTGGCAGTTTATGGATGATTGAAGCATCGTGTCATGTTGTAAAGATATTGGGCTAAGTAATTTTAGTTTAGGTCAAGTAATTAGTTTTTTTTTTAGTTTTATTCTTATTATTAAAGGGCTATGTAAGGTAGTTAAACTAAGTATGCAGTTTTGTGGACAAATTCTTTAGGATTCATTTGAGACATACAAAACGTTTCCACGATGTATAATTACTGAGTTTGAGTGCAAAGTCGACGTTCAAAATCATGAATTTGGGTGGGAACGTTTTCAGAATCTTTTTTTTTTTAATCAAACTGAAAAATTTTAAAGTTTACATTGTGAATATCACACTCAGTCGGCGAAACTAAACTCTATCCTAAAGCAAAAATGTTTCATCTGATTTCACCCCAATAACCCACCTACACTGTAAACTTAATATTGTAGAAATATTTTACTTATTTTTGGGAAAACTGATTTCTTATCTAATGTGGATCTAGCAACACATCATTAGATTTGTTATCCATGAAGCTTGGCTGCTTTAACGTTCCCCTCTCTTAAACCTGGTTTACTACTTTATGGTCAATAGAATACCTTCCTTCTAAATATTGTATTACGTTTATTTACAATTCCAGAGAAGAATGAAAAAAGGAAAATATAACTGTGTATTCTGAAGTGGTAAAATCTCTTCGTTAAAATATAAGTTTGCTAAGAAGAAAAACTAGAATTGCTGATGAGGGTTCAAATATTGTTCTCCAGGGGTTTCATTTTGACAATTAAATTGAACTTCGAAGATTTAGGTGGAAAAAATTAAAAGGAGACACAAACTTTTCTGGTTTTGATATTTATAGAAAGGAATTGGGGTTTGTCACAAACTTTAATTTTCTAATCCCTATACAAGTTTAAAATATCAAAAGTTAACAACATCAGCAATTTTGAGTTTGTTGCAAAGCCTCAATTTCTTTGTTTCTAAAATTCACTTTAAGCCTAAAATAAGAAAATAAAAAAGAAATTAATTCATATATTTCTGTTTTTATAAAAGTGTTTACCCCTGTTGCTCTCCTAATCTCTCCTTTCATCCAACTCCATTTATCAAGTTTTCAAGGCCCGTAGAGAAGTAAGCAGGGAGGATTATATGTCTGATATCGAGATTTCACATTAACAGAACCATGTGTACAACAGTTAATCGATTTGGTTCCTTTTTAAAAATTTTGCTTTTAGTAAACTTTGAAATATGTTTTATTATGAAATAAAAAAAAATATATCGTTATAACTTATAACATGATTTTTTGGTTCGTTTATGGATATTTTTTGGGTTCTGGGCAGTGTTAAAAAAGTATTTAAAAGTTTACTTTTATAAAACTTTGCAATCGATCATTTTAACACGTTTGTTTTTGGATCGGTTTCGGGTCTTTTATCTTGCTTATATTTTCTTAGGTATATTTTCTATCGTATATTTTCTTGCGTAGAAGAAACCAAAACATTTTGCTCGGAATAATAAACTTACCGAATCAGTAAGATCACATTGGCATGGATTCAGACCCCTGTGAACCTTTTCCTAATGACTGGGTTGCTTTTAGAGTGTCGTTAAGCATGGCCTTTGATTTTACATTACAAAGTCACATTTTTGAGCCCTAGCCATTTTAAAGTCTTAAAATCTTGTTTTTTTAATCAAACATTTTTATTTTTCAATCCATTTTTTTATTTTGTTTTAAATTTTGATCATTCATAAACCTTCCCTGTGGTCACGTGATGTCCCACAAAAAATTTGGGCCCGATCGGTTCAGCCGTTTTGCCGTTTATTGGATACAAACAAACAAACAGACAGACAAGCCAAATTTATATATAGATTATAATTAAAATCTTTACAAGTAATATTTAAACTTTTCTGTTTCGAATAGAGAGAAAATGGCAACTTGTCAATCTTTCGAAATTTGGAATTAATCGATTTGCAAAAAAATATTTTTAAACATTTTGTATGTGAAAAACAGGTTATGAATGATACCACTCTCCACTAAAGCCCACTTTTTCTTCGGCCAGAGAACTGCACATCAATGCAGTACACACCGAAAGCTTAGTTGAGTGATACAGCCATACTAAGATTTGGTTGAAAAAAAAAACAATTCCAAGTTTTCTTATAAGTAAAGTATTGATAAATATTTTCAGAAATAATGATTTTGGTATTGGATTCATCTTTGAAACTTATAGGTGCGTTTTGTTCGAAATTATTAGCAGAATGTTATGATTGTAAACTTTTGTAGGTTATCCTTAACATTCATAATTTCAATCGAAAAGTTCATATAAAGAATTCAATATTGCGATCAAAATTCTCGATTTTTCTCCAAAAGTGCAGAGTCTGCTGGAAAACAATGAAGAAAAAGTAAATTTAAAAAACTTTAAATCTGTTTATTGTATCCTTAGCTTCACAAAGTTGTGAAGAATTCTGAAATTCTTCAGTATTTACTTTTTACATACAAGTTTCTGAACAAGAAAAACTTCTAAATGTATTTCCTCACATTTGTTGTTGACATTTCTGATAGAATTGAAAAGACGTTTCTAAAGAAGATTATGAGTATTGTGTATAGTGTTTAAGGTATAAAGGGGGTTGAAAGGAGTTTTATAAAATCCAATATTTTTAACATCTTGCCTGTGAGGTCGCGATTCGAATAGTTCTGAGAAAAGATGTTCCAAGACTATGCAGTCAGTAAGACTAGAAAATGGCGAACGACTATAGAGATTTTTATTCTTTTTGATGTCATATTTTAGTAGTTCAAATTTTATATCTTTACGATAGACAATAAACAACATTTTTAAGTTAGCTACAGCTGGCCAGACGGCTGGATTAAATTGGCGGTTTTTAAAGGAAACCCTGGGGATATTTTTGAAATTCTACAGGCAAATCTAAAATCATGATTTTAAATGAAGCGCGGGTAAACGGCGGGAGTAACTATGACTATGAATAATACATGAGCAAGGTCTGGCACTCCAGCTAGTTTAATAATAAGGCTGGTCGAACCTACATATATGTTTAAAATTTCACTAGTTTAGATTTTTTCATTAGAGTCTTTTATTTACTTAAATATTACTTTACTACGCAAAATTCAATTTTCACCGGAAGGAAAATGATATATTCGGAAGTAAGATGATATATTGTTAATATATATGTATCTTCTATCAAATATCATATCTCGCATTAAATACAAAATATTATTTTGAAAAAAGAAAAAAAATATAGGGATGAACTAATCATAGTTTTAGACAAGTAATCTCCTACTTTGTTTCCATAATTTTAATCTTTCTAAAATCTATAATTTTATAAACTGATCTTTAAATTAAACAAGGGCATTCCAGATTCACAACAGTACCTTTAAACCCTTTATTTGATCAATATTATGGGAGATATCGCCTTTTTTTTAATCGATAAGATATCAATTTTAACAATTTCCTTCAATGTTTATGATGGCAAAATAAGCAATTCTTTTTTAGAAAAACCACAGTTGAAAATAATATTTTCATTCAGGAGTTTCAGATGGATGTTTCATGCATGCAATCTTGATCAAACAAAGCTTAAAACTGCATCGTTGTGAATCAGACATTCCACTCTTTGAACGGAGAGTCACCTAAAATTATGTTTACAGTCCCTTTGATACATAATAATGCAGCTAGTTAATTTATACGTATAGTGCATCACTGTACAGTCAAATTTTCCTTAATTAACAGGATTTTCAAATGGCAAAAAACTATTGTTTTCTTCCACTTAAACCACGTAATTATACTTCAGCTGCCAATAAAAGATTGTTAGCCATCAAACGATTCATAGTCTTCAGAGTTAAGCAGGGGAGGGAGGGGGGAATCATTTTCGAATGATAATAATAAAATAAATTCATGTATTTTTGTACGGAATTTTTATGTTACATCATTCACTTTTCAAGGCCTGTCTGTAAAAATATGAAAAGAGTAGCCTTTCAAAAGTGAGGGTTAACTGAAAGACCGAATTAAGATATACCTGGAAGCAAATCTTAAAAATAAAAAATAAATATGAACAAAGAATTCCCAGAATTTAAAATTACTTACTTTGTTTGATGTAGTAATAATATCAAATATTTAAATTTAAAATTTTGTTGCCTCTAAATATTTTGTTGTAAATCCATATTTTTTTCTTTCAGATGAAACTCGTGTAATCTATTGAAAATGGTGGGTTACATTAGGAAAAGGATGAAATATGAGATAAAATAACCTGGTTCTATCCTACACACTCATCTAACAGTTTGGTTCTATCCTACACACTCATCTAACAGTTTGGTTCTATCCTACACACTCATCTAACAGTTTGGTTCTATCCTACACACTCATCTGACAGTTTGGTTCTATCCTACACACTCATCTTACAGTTTGGTTCTATCCTACACACTCATCTTACAGTTTGGTTCTATCCTACACACTCATCCAACAGTTCCCTCCTTTCCTAAGCAAACTGTAACTTTCAACACAATTTAACCCTTTTTAACAGTTTAATCATTTTTTAATTATAGACCAAAACGCAATTAAAACAAAGTTTAAGAACTGGACTCCATCTAGCCCTGGTTAGTCCAGGGTGCCTAGTTTTATGTCTAAGCATATCTTTTACACAAGTATTCCTAAGCCTCAGAGATTTATAGCAACAATATTGGAAATATTCTTTAGGAAAACCGAGAGAGAAATTCAAATATTTAAAAAAAAATTTTCATCGTTCTCTGCCAGTGTACAAATCCTCGGCCTGTTGGTAGTTGCCGGCCAGGAGTTCAACATGGACGATTTTGTTGCCGGCCAGGAGTTCAACATGGACGATCAAGAAATAGTTAATTTTCCGCTGGAAACAGCAGATGTACAAACTACAGGTATTTAAAGGAACTGTAGACGTAATTTAAGTGAACCTCTATTTTTCCAGATAAAAAACAAATAATATTTTTTCTCATATTTTATGTTGCAAAAGCAAACTTTTTAAGGATTAAGTTGTTATAAACGGGCATGAAGCTCTTTGAATTATGCTACCATATGTATTACTTATAAAAATAGTAAATTATTCTCTTTTGGGTTAGCTAATATTTTAAGGAAAAAATATATTTTATATGGAAATATAATATTTTGAATTAGTAAAACATTTTAAATCATAAATATATCTAGATATCAAATAAAATAATTTTGAAATTGAAATTAAATTGAAATCAAATTAGAAATATAGAAATCAGTAATTAATAAAAAATTTTTGTTTGTTTATTTACAACTTTTAAATAATAGGCTTCCACGCCACTATTTCCCGCTTTAGGTATTTAATTTTTTTAAACTTCTGTAACCAGCCCCGGGATTAATTAAAAATTTACAAATATTATAAATCCTTTCAAAAATATTTATTCTAGTGTTGTTTTTTTTAACAATTTGTGTATACATTGTTTAATAAAAGCCAATTTTTGCTAAAAACCCTGATACGCGATAGACACACCTTCATTTTGTTTATGTGAAAACTTTAAAAATCTTAATTCGATTGTTTTTCGATTAGTACGTCATTTTCGCTATACACAGTGACACAAGGGTTGCAAGGTCTCCAGCTAAAATCTATGATAATTTTGCCAATTACTTCTTAAAAATTAATTAACAACAAGTACTTTATTGCTAAAATGTACATGTAAAGGGCTACAGAAAAGCACACTCGAGTTTGTGCGATAAAATAAAAGCACGTTGTGACACTTCAAAGTCAGCCTTGTCTTAAAAATTAATGAAAATTTTTATAAGCAGGCTGGATTTATGTTTATATATATTACGGATATATTAATTGGGGCCTTTAATGTTTTTGTAATATTTATGTTTTACCTAAATTCTTCTCTTGTCCTTAGATATAAACTTTAAGTTTCGATCCAAATTTGACCTAATATACAAACGTTTTTTTGCCTTTTCTCTTTAATACTTTTTTTTGTCGGTATATTTCTTTTAAATAAAAAAGTCTAGAAAAACTTTGTAAACTTAAAGATTGCTAAATTTAAACCAAAACGCGATTAGATTAAAATAGAAAAAACTGAATTCACCTTGTCCTGGTTAGTCCAGGGTTAGTGCTAAACATAATTTACTCTAAAGATTGTCTTAGCCCTTCTATGGCGCCAAAGACTACAAAAGAAGGTATAGCGCTGCTGCTGCTTGGATTAAAAGTATATCACACTAAACGTGATAAGCTTATATAGCAAATGACGTGCATAGGGCAAAATATTGACATATGACCTGGCCACAGAGCTAGTCTATATAGAAACAATATTTTTTATTATTTATTAATGTAAACACAAGACGTATGTCGAAGCCTGACATTGGATCCATCTTTCACATAAAAATCAATGAAATATTCTGGTCATAGGAAACTATTATGTGAATTATCAAAATTTTCAAAATTTAATGGTTTTAACCTCCTCGGATACTAAACGAAAACTGATGCATCTATTCTTGTTTACAATTTCCGCCCAGAGAGAACTGGTTTCAAACTGTACGCAGAGTATACGCAACTGCAATTAACTTTCCTTGCATTATAAACTTGGTCTATAGTAGCAATATTTTTTATTGAAGAAAATATTTCGTCAGAAATTTTAACTATGCCATTTACCATATTTCATTTGTTATTCAATATTGCAACTCTGTATTATGCTCTTGACATATTTGATTATTATGATTTATTTAATCTTTTCTTCTTAAGAAAATCTTACAAATCCAGCTCTACTATTATTAAAGATTATTATTAAAGATTTAGTTAAAAAATCATGCCCACAAATCACAATTTCTTAAAGTCTATTTACGGTTTGAAGGAAAATCATTCGAGTGGATTTTTTCTTCAAAAAGTGTCAGGAACTAAACCAATATTCTGAATTCAAAACGTTTTAAGCTAGAAAAAGTTGATATCTTTCTTGTTGCTTAAAAAAGGATATAAAGCGTTCCGAATCGTTCTGGCTCGTTAAGATTTGGGGGTCACTTGAAAATAACGTTGAAAATACCTGATCAATTCTATTTATTAAACCGAAAATTTATTTTATATGTGAACAATAGATAAATAGAAAACCAGGGATCTTATAAGATGTTCAATTTCTATTTTGCAATAGAAATATTGCAATAAATGTCGAAATAAACTCTCACGAGAGCGGTACTAAAACAATTTATAATATGTGCTTCACACAGACTTTACAATAAAAAAATTTCTATTCAAACATTGGCATTGAGGTGATTGTATTGAACACGGATGCCATATTTAAAATATGAAATGTGGATTTTAATAAAATGTGAATTTTGATTTCAATATTCACAAAACAAATATCCTTTTAAAAAATTGCCTTTAAAAGCTTTTATTATTTGCATTGAATTATAAATCTGCCAATTAAGTTAATGGTTCGATTAGAACTAAATTAAAAACCTGCAGTGCTTTGAAAAAGCTTGAAGGTATTGTTATTATAGGTTAGAACGCTAACTATCGCATTTAGATACAGCTGGAAAATGGTTTTAAAAGATTATCTAAAAGTGTGTAGCAAATAAGTTTTTCTTTAGGAAGTGGGGGAAGGGTTACTTTCAATTATTAAATATTTTTATCACCTTAACTATTGAAGTTTAAGACCTAAAATTTTAATCGAGAAAATGCGGGCTTTGAACAAGTTGGACACCAATACATTTCCTCTCTAGGTATTAAGCTTTACATAAATTCAAAACGGCAAGCCATTCTGGGGTTAACTATTACGTTTTTAATCAGCTATAAATATGAATAAATAGCTTATATTGTTTAAAATATGAAGAAAAAACCCAAATTTACTAATAAACGGATTTTAAGATTTGATATTTTAGAATGTATAAAATACAAAAAGGGGGGAAAAGCATTACAATCATTATTCAGTTTATTAAAAACCACTGGCATTTATACGGTGCCTTGCCTAACATACAAGAGTAAATAAAAATGTGTCCATTGGTCAAAAAATATTGAGCCGAGGTTATAAAGTGGGATTTGAGTGGTCAAAAAGCAAAACATGTTAATTTCAAGTTGTATTCATGTTAAGAAATTATTTTTAACAGGTTTGTTTTTCAACAACTTGTTTTTTAATTTAAAAAATAGATGGTACTAATATTATAGACAAACTCAAATAGTAAGGATAAAATAAATTTCATTTCTTTATTTTTAATTCTCTGTACACACGAACTAAATTTGTTTTTCTAAAGGTATTTTCAAAATTTGTTTAGACATTTCTAGTCTGCACTTTGTCAGAGATAACTCCTAGAGTGCTTCTAAAATAGTTGAATAAGTATTTGTAAAGAAACAGTTAGTCTTAAATTCTTTGTCTGAGAAAAAAAAGTTATGAAATTATCCTAGTTTTCGATCTAGAAATTAATAATCAATGATTTTTTATACAATAATAAATTGAGAATTTACGCAGAGGAGACAAAGCAGAAATTGTCAGAACTTGGCATTTTTCATTTGAATAATGCTTTGAAATGGAATAATCCCGATAATTTTTCATTTCAGCGAAATTTTTTTCCTTTGAATTCTAAATTTAGAGAATATCATATAATTTTAAACCTAAAATTATCAGTCAAACTAAATATTTTTAATCCCTTTATTTTTGCAACCTGAATAGGCGAACACCGTAGATATGTCAATCTTAGATTTTTTTATTTACCAGAATTTATAGTTTGAAATATCCGAGGTTGCCAAAACTTATGGAAAATCAGAGTTTGAGGCAAAGACTCAATTCCATTGAGGGGGGTGGGATGAGGGGGGATGAATCCAATAAAATAAAGTTGTTTGTATTAAGTGTCATTAATTCTTAACGTTTACTTAGACGCTGTAAATATAGAAGGATTAGCTGGTGGAACTATTGAATTACCTTGTGACTTAAAACCTCAAATTCCAGGTAATAACATTACTTTAAATTAATTAAATTAAATTCTATGAAAGATTGAAATCTTTTATGCTTTCGATCATAACTCCTCTTATTTAAGAGCTTCAGAAAAGAAAAGAATGTTTTTTTTAAAATTTTTATCCGGAAAAGTTTGCTTTTCGAATATTTTGTTCGAATTAATAAGCTTTTTTAAATTCAGAGGCAATTATCTCCTAGAATTTGAGAGCTTTCAACTTTATTTTTTTTTTTAAATTACTGAAAGTCTGTAAGTGCAATGCAATAGGTTACCACACTCTTAGTCTTGGCGAGCGCCATTTGCTAAATCTAGTAAACATTGGTGAACCACTTAAGCCTAAACAGGCTGGGGGAGAGGGGGGGGGGCGTTTGGCGCCTCCTCCTCTAGTTTTTTTGTCCTAGCACTCTCATTTTGAACACTATCACCGTGAAATTTTGTGACTTTTAATGAATAGTAACTTAAAAGTCGGGCAGTATAAAAATATCAGCAATAT